CCGTGTGAGCAGATGAGCACGCATGAACACAGCAACATGAAACAGATCAGCAGCAATATGAAGCAGATCAGCAGCAACATGAAGCAGATCAGCAGCAATATGAAACAGATCAGCAGCAACATGAAGCAGATCAGCAGCAACATAAAACAGATAAGTAGCAACATGAAGCAGATCAGCAGCAACATGAAACAGATAAGCAGCAACATGAAACAGATCAGCAGCAACATGATGTGATTTTTCACAGTGATTCTCCTGGTTAGAGATTCATGAGTCTAACAGCCTCAGGGTAGAAGCTGTTCCTCAGTCTAGTGGTTCTACACTTAATGCTCCTCAACCTCCTTCCTGAGGGGAGCGGGGCAAAAATTGTGTGTGCTGGGTCAGTGGGGTCCTTCATGATGCAGGTGGCCCTCTTCCTGAATCTGGATGTAGTGTGTTTAGGTGTGTTTGTTCCTTCTGAAGTCCACGACCATCTTCTTCACATTGATGTGAAGGTTAAGGCTCCAGTATACCCGCGCGTCCTGTCAGCCACACGGAAACTGTGAAAACTATGCGCAGAGGGTTGAGACTTCATACTCAAGCATCCCTGCCTGAGCGGCTGCAGAGCAGCTTCACAGACAAGGGCCGTTTACCTTCGGGTCAAATTGAGTTCGCCGATTGGTCATTTGCTGACACGCCTACTGGATTTATTGACAGGTCGCCAAAAAAAAAAAAAAAGAAAGCTGGCAGCTCCAGCCGCAGCAGTGTTCTGTGTTTATATGTTGTTAATAAAAAGTTCTAAAAAAAAAACAGGGAACACTGGCCCTGCAGTCCACACATCAGAGACCAGCCCACCAGGAAATCTCCAGACCCTCCTGCAGTCACTCTGGACATGATTTTTATTCGCTCGTGACAAATTCCTTCATTTCTCACAATTTCAGTCATGGCTTCAACGAAAGAGGAGGAACAGATTGCTTGCTTCTTGGAAAAAAAAACAACAACAAAAAAGGCCAGATTAGGGATGAAGAAGGGGAGTTTAATGCATTGGTGTTGCATACAAAACGTTGGTTACGTACTGTAACCCCAGATTCTATGAGTATAGGCGTAGCCCTTTAAGGCTGTCGCTTAGTGGGTTTATCCCGATATGCAAAGCATCGCACTGAAAAATTTAGTCCACGCCCACCTGCTGTGTGGGCCCCACCCGGTCCATATAAATTACGTTAAGAGCGGGAAATCGACTCCCAAATAGCTTTTTCTTCAGCCATTTAGGAGCCAGTGAGGCCCGACGCTTAAAGGGCTACGCTTACAGTATACTCATAGAATCTGGGGTTACAGTACGTAACCAATGTTCTATTTCGTATAGGCTTCGCCCTTTAAGGCTGTTGCTTAGTGGGTTAAGGGCGAAGCGGATGTTGTCCTCGCCTCACTGGGTCCATTCGAACATCGTATGAAGCAGAAGCTTGCCCAAAAAACGTCTTGTCACTCAGCTCCCCATGTGCGTCATTACGCATTGCGTAATTATGTGTGCCATGCACAGACGCTGTTGTGTAACTATGCGTTCTGAATGCATGAACGCCCTGGAAAACTTCAACGGGGAGGGAAAAAAGCTGAAAAGAGCCATGAACCAACCGGTTACGGCTGAACCGTATGAACAGATTAATAATAACAGGAGAGCTGATTATTAATCAAATGAACTGATTAGTGACAATAGAACCAAAATAACAATCACACCTGTGACTGATACCAACATCTCACACTGTAATGCATGCCGACAGATGTGAGTAAAACGGAGTACCATGAAACAACAATATTCATTCTGTAAAACACTAAAGACAGAATGTGTCATGGAACGAGCCGTCACATTATGTAGATAAAAGTGAATAAATGAGCAGGGTGTTGACCACGCAGCCGCAGTGCAAATGTCCTGCATTGACATACCAGTATGCAAAGCAGTCGAAGATGCGATACCCCTGATCGAGTGTGCTCTGAGGTTGACAGGAGGCTCTAAATCTGATGCTCTGGAGGCTTCAGAAATGGCCTCACACATCCAATGTGACAAGCGCTGGGTGGATAACGGTTGACCTGTAGATGCATCTCTATAATGCACAAACAAATGTTGACGCATTGCAGCTGTGCACGCTATGTAACACGTCAACGCCCGCACCGGACAGAGGAAATGAAAAGACGCTACTTCTTCTGATCTGTGTGTGAAGGGGGGGGGGGGGACCCCTCCAACGATATCGCTCTTGATTTAAAAGAGCTCGTGATGTTTTTAGGCATAAAAGCTGGGTTTGGTCTTAAATCAGCTGAGCTGCCGTCAGCCTGAATTCTGAGACATGACGGAGCGACAGAGAGGGCAGATAAATCACTCACCCTCTTAGCAGATGTTAAAACCAACAGCAGGGCTGTTTAAAGAGACAAGAATTTAAGTGGAACCTGATCCAAAGACTCAAATGGAGCTTTGATCAGGACCTGCAGGGCCAGTATTAAATCCTACTGTGGAACAAGTGGGTGTGAAAACAGGCCTGCGTCGCTGTACACCTTTTAGAAAATGCTTCATCAGCGGATGATTAAAAACCTGTTCTGTCTCCGAAACCTTTCGTGGCAGGAAGAGATGTCTGCAGCATATGTTTTAATCGTGCTGGACGCCAAATTTCTGTCCATCAGCTGCTGCAGAAAAGACAACATGCCACCTAATGGACATGAGGTGGCCTCTACACCCTTCTCTGTACACCAGCGCTGAAAAGCTGTCCGCTTTGATGTACACAGCGCTGTGGTAGATGCAGCACGTGAAAACAGAATTGTGCCCACTACATCCTGTGGGCAACCCATCCTCTCTAAGCGGATCCTTTCAGCGGCCAGACCCACAGGTGCTGGCCTATTTCTGGGTAACTCCTGGTCGCTCCTCCTGCCTGGAGGAGAGCGTCCTCCCTCCACGGCAGTTTCCACAGGCGCCCCGACAGCAGGCGTTGCAGGACTGGGAACCATGGTGCGTTCACGCGTTCGGGGGCCACCAGGAGCTCTCCTGGTTGACCTCACAGGTCGTGAGCTGTCAATCCCTCCTCCTGAACTCTGTTCAGGAACCGTAAAATCAAAGGAGGTGGAGGAAACACGTACAGAAACATTTTGGGCCATGGGCTGTGGGCAAAAGCATCCACCCCCAGTGGTGGTTCGTCTCTTGGGCTCAGAGAAAACCATAATTGACACTGAGCGTTTCTCGTGTCACAAACAGGCCCACAGCTGCTATTTCAATCCGAGTCAAAATGCTCCGTCAGAGGATGATTAAAGGTTGTTCTGTCTACGACAACCTTGAGACAAGAAGAAAACATGGCTGTAGCATACGATAAGCGTGCTGGACACCAGATTTCTGTCCATCGACTGCTGCAGAAAAGGACAGCATGTCGTACAGTGGACATGAAGTGGCCTCTACGCCTTTCTCTGTACCGCAGTGCTGAAAAAACTGACCACTTGATGTGAACAGTGCTGTGGTGGTTGTAGCACGTGAATCCTGAATCATAAGCACTACATCTTGAGAGAGATCCATCCTCTCAAAAAGATCCGCACAGTGGCCAGACCACAGGTGCTGGCCTAATCTGATTAACTCCTGATCGTTCCTCCCGCCTAGAGGAGAGCGTCCTCCCTCCACGGCAGGATCTACGAGCGCCCTGATAACAAGTGTCGTAGGCCTGGGAACCATGATGCGTTCACGCACTTGGGACAGAGGAGCTGCCAATCCCTCCTCCTGAGCTCGGTTCAGAAAACTGTGATACCAGAGGGAGAGAGGAAGGTGAAAAAGCATTACGACCATAGGCTGTGAGCAGGCACGTCCACCCCAACGGTGGATAGTCCTGTGGCTCCATGATAATTATAGTTGACATTGAACGTTCTCTCATGTTGCTACACGTCCACAGGCACTGGCAGGATTTCTGCCATGTCTGAGCCATAGCTCTGGGTGGAAGGTCCCAGGTCCCCGTGCCACAAAGGACCGTCTTTGGACATCACATCCGTCCCTTGTTTGGAATACATGAGATGTATCCTACTCTAGTGGAGAGCAGATTGGGTGTGCCCCACACAGCATCTGTCTCACAATGTGGCACATGGGTTGAGCGCATACATCTCATGCTAGTATGTATGCAACAGTCACTGCTGTCTGTGTGAATCAAAAACCCTGATGATTCTGCAGTTCAAGATCAGTGTTGAGTCACATTCAAAGAACCCGTGCGACACTCCAAAAACATTTAAATGAGCTGCTGTGTGGAGAACCACAGCGCCCCCACAGCTTGTTAAATGTGTGTGCCTCTGTGAAAACTGACATGTGTGACGTAGGTCTGCTGACGGAAAACAGC